AGGATGGTGCACGGACCAGCGGAGCATACGTCGAAACCATTGTGTAAAGCGAGTTACATGTATTGGATGTCGACGCTGGCGAGCTCGAATGTAACTAGTCCATCCACGGGCCAGTGTTGACGGAGCATGACCACGCGAGAGCAAACGGCGGACAAGCATGGTTGCTGCCGTTTTGAAATCACGCCAATTGTCACAGATCTGCTCAAACCGCGTAAGCTGGCCAGTGAACACACCTGCAGGCTGATGAGATGGAATGTTCGACGTTGCACTAGGATATCGTATAACAGGAAAATCCCATGCAACGGTCTTATCAAATACACTCAATCTGAGAGATCCGTCTGCTCGTGTCTGCAGTTTCGCACCTAAGAAGGTGCACGAGCCATCTGCCGCAGTGATCTCCTTCCATTCAAGACCATAATGGGCTGATGATGGTGGCAGACAATCAAAGGTAAGAACATCATCAATGAACCGATATGTAAAAGCATATCGGCGAGCAGCAGAGGGATCCACACGCTGCAGGTTGTCCACGTACTGCGCCTCATCCCAATAGAGTGTAAGATTGGCAATCTCAGGACCAGCGTTTGTACCCATAGGGATACCGACATCTTGATGACGAACAAGGCCATCTGTATACAAATATGTATTTGTAACAATAAACCGAAGATGTTGAAGCATGTCAGAAACAGAAAGAGTGTCAGGTCCCGTATCCGTACTCCATTCCCCTGCACGCGGTCCACGGACCAGCATACGAAGAGCAACACCCGATGAGCGTGTCTGTGTATGCTGCCGTATGCTGCCGTACCTGTGCAAGAGCGTAGGCATGCGCCTCATCAACGGCATTAGCAACATTGTCAAGAATTCGTTGATGAGAAAGATTAGTATACAGAGTAGTGAAATCAACTGTATGCGGGGCCAGACCTCTAAGAGAAGCTTTATTCTTTTTGAGGTCAAGCATGACCTCGTCACTGCTCTGAACAATCCAACATCGCCAAATACCTTAGGTTCAAAAGAGTTGATTATCTTTTTCGCGAAGAGTATGGATGACGCCTTGAAGTGCTGTACTCAAACGAGCCGAAGTAGGCGTTGTACTAGCTACCGGCTTGTGAGGCGGTCGGTGATGCAAACGCTGGACTCGTTGGGAAGGGTGCAGGTCACTTCGCCGGGCCGTATGGGAAGAGGAAGAAGAAAGATTGTTTCGGGCGTTGTTGACGTCCCCCTAAGGTAAGCCAAAGACTCATAATGAATGGATCTCCCAACCAGCTCAGTCCAAATTGGAAATGTGGAAGAACAAACATACCTTAATTTTTGGTCGATCAATGATAATTAACAATATAATCCTAGCATCTATTTGGTATAAATCAGCGATCTGGGCTTTGGATAAAGTTTCCCTCAAATCTCTTCAACGACAATTAACTGCCTTTTTATGGAGAGGTAATCATGAATACAATAGTGTTATCAGCAGGGTAGCATGACAGTCTATTATTCACCCAAAAGTAAAGGTGGGGGGGTTAGGAGTTATGGATCCTCTAACCCAGTCCAAGGCACTTTCAATCCAATGGATTCAACGCTTATTATTTAACCCCCAAACCCCATGGGCCCCTTTGGACTTGGAGCAAATCAAGCGCCTAGCCCCCTCCATGTCTGAGGAAATTGACCCTCTGACATGGTTGGAAAATCGATCTTGGACAATCCCAAGGGGGATTTCTAAGCCTGTAATAACATCCACAGTTTCCAATAGGCAGGCTGTCAGGCTGTCAGGCAAGATTTGAAAAATGATCAATTTTGGGTGACCATGTTGAAAACCTGGAGGACATATATATATCGTCGAACAGAACTGCCCGGTAAACCGTAGGCAGAGAGGGAGAAGAGGACATATATATAATATACTATATATTCCGATCTCGATTGTTTCTCTTTTTTTTTTCTGCTGGGGAGCCGGAGGAGGGGGGGG